CGATTGTACAGCTATGAAAATGAATTCACCGAAAAGAGACTCTTCGCTGAACTACTTGTCTTCTGTCTACTAATGTTCGAATGGGAATTATTCATGAATTAAAATGAAATTATTTACACTTTAGGCAATTTGGTAAGATTTTCTGATGTCACATATCAAATTTTGAAAATCTGTGATGTAAAAGCGAATAGCACATTTTCGTATACTGCTACTTAAATGAAGGTAATAGCAAGCTTTTCTCAGTAACACTAATCGACACTACTAAAGAGTTTCAAACTAGGATAAAGTAACTGCCTGGTACACTATAGTCTTTAGAAATTCACCAAATGGTGTCGGACCGTGATCCATTTAATAAGCTAGTCAATTCCGTAAAGACCGAAAACATAATTCTACCAAAGATCAAACCCAAGATTTGGACACGTTACATCGACGACACATTTGTACTAATCGAAAGAAACGAGTTAGATAAAACTCACAACTTAATAAACGTCTTCAACAACATCAAATCCACAAGAGAGGAGGAATCCGAGAACCAAATCCCATTTTTCGACGTCTTAGTCAAGCGAACAAGCACAGGGGAATTAGAAACTCAAGTTTATAGAAAATCAACTCACACAGACCAAATCCTGAATTACAACAGCAACAATCCAATAACACACAATAGGAATTGCATACAAACGCTATTCAAGAGGGCAAGGACTCATTGCAGCACTCTTACCCACCCTAAGGAAAACTGAAGAAAAGTATCTCATGGACATCTTCGAAAAGAATGGACATCCGCGAAATTTTATCAAAAGACATATATCTCCAAGCCAACCTGTCAAACAAAAAAGCTCCCAAGGAAAGCACAAAGAAAATCGCCCTACCATATATAAAAGATACCTCAGAAATCACTGCAAGATTCTTCAAACCTTTAGGAACTGACGTCGTACACAAACCAATAAAGTCACTTCACTCAATTCTATGTCAACCAAAAGACTCAACAGCGAACGAAGATAAAACCAACATCATCTACAAAATAAATTGTGACTACTGCGAGAAACACTACATTGGCCATAGTGGATGTCTGCTTCGTCTTCGTATCCACGAACATATGCTAGCCGTCAAAACACATGATATCCACTCCATCATATCACTACATACAGACAACCACAGACATCAATTCGACTGGGACAATGTTCAAATACTAGACAGAGGAAACAGCAAGAATGCTAGAGAATTTTTAGAAGCTTGGCATTCCAATGAATCACCAATCAATAGACACATAGAGATGGATAAAATTTATCAACCGATAAGAAAGAAACCTCACACACAAAGGGCCAAAGTTCAAGTCAAAGAAACTATCAGTTCCAATACAAGTAGCCTAGATGGTGTGAAAAAAACGCAAAAACAACCAATCACATCCAAAGTGCCCAGGAGAGATGATTGATGAACTCATGGAGAAATCTAAAAGCTCACTTCAAATTGAAGTCTGCGTGCTGAAGATGTCGCCTAGTAGGGTGATGAAAGGTTCGCAAATTAATTATCCAGCTCAAAGTACACAACCAAAGTACAAACCTTCTCTATCGTATCTAAATTTTCCTTAATCCAGACTCTTCAATTATAACTGATATAATGGCATGCCGGATATACATATATGTCAGTTCATTATGTAGGCAGTTGATGCCATACCGACTGCGCTTGTGTACTCAGTAAAATGACTTGTCTGAACTAAAATGAAGTGGATTTCCAACGTAGAACTTTACAAAGCAGTGCAAGTTCTCACACATCATAAGACCACACATGAATTTAGACAAAACACAAAGAATCTATAATAAACAGATTTTTATGGGCGAAAGAAAACTAATGTGGAGAATAATGAGGACGGCATCCGCACCATTTTGAATAATGTTATCAACAATCTTCAGCCACTTAAACTTAGAGTCTGGATGACCTCTGTAAGGTAGTCAAAACCCCGCCACTCAAAATAACAATGAACACCTTCACAGGCTGATACTGTTTTAATCTGACCACACAAAACTCATTTACCACCAGTGTCACGATGTCAAGTAACATTTTCAGTCGAGTAAGGTGATGGCTGGATATACAGAACACATTTCCTAACTAGTTTGACACAGTTCCACGAAATCATGGCTACATTTCCTCTTTTTACCCAACATTAGACCTAACTTTACCAATACTGACTATGATATAACGCCTAACAGGAGAAATTGAAGGCAAAAACAGTCCTTATGTCTCTTATTTCCAAAAATCGTATTTTACAGCAGTAAATATTGATGCAAAAATGACTACTGCATGGTACAAAAAAAATTCATCCATGAATATCCGGTTATGACGCCTCCGCCAAGGATGATGCAATTTATAGAATGACAAATCAGTCATTTGTATCCGTGCTAAAATTTCGTTACCATTCATTGGTTTTTTACTAACCTTCCTAACGCTTATAATTAACACGCCTCCAGTACTTTTATGTACTGAATTCAACAGAGTATTGTAGTGCTTTTACATTTCACTAATTGAAGTTGAATTTTGAATAATCAGAGGGAATTTGAAAATGTGGGGAGCTTCAAAATTAGTAATAATAATAATAATGCAACAATTTTGGATGATACTGACAAAAGACAGCCTTAATTAAGACAAGAATAATAATAACACACGTAATAAAGTATAAGTAAATTCGAGTCTGAAAACTTATTGATGAGACTCAATTATGCCATCCCAGTCTTAACTTCACTACAGAATATGAGAACAATATGATACGGTTAGATTCTTAGACATTCTTCTAATGAAAAGAATGGATGGTACAGTAGGAAAATGCATGTTTGGAAAGCCTACGTGGATAGGACGGTATAGATATACAACTTAGGAGTTGTGTTCACACCCACTTTAAAAGAAAGCTAGGAATAAACTGTTCACGAGAACACAGCAAATCTCTTCCAGCACCTGATTTAAATACGAAACGAAGGATACATTATCGAGGAATGGACATCTTGATAGGTTTGTCAGTAAGTATTCTAAAACTTGGGATTCAGTAAGACAGTTTCAAAGAAGCCTGTGTCTATCAATCTCGAATTTGAAGTACATTGTGCACAAAAAGCAGTCAAACAAAGGCTTCGTATCGTGATAAGGAAAACTTATTATGTCGCAAAATTCATTTCCATAAAATCACAAAGAGGCTGCTTCAGCAATCTGGAAAAGAACTGTCACCAACCTTCGGTACTTCTAACCACTGATATCGACTTGAATAAATGTGTAGAAATAAATGTGTACTGAAACCAAATTGCCAAGATGTCGGATGAAAAAACATTTTTTAGATTATAGACAAGACAGAGATGCTATCAAGTTATTTACACACCTTAAAATGTAGACCGTTTAGCTGAAGATTTTTACTGAAAGCTGATGAATTCATTAACCCAATTCAGTCTCATTAGCCAAATTCTTTGATTGCTACATGCTCTCCGACCCGAAAACAAAGTTATGTCAACAAATTATTGAAATTATATGACATTGCTTAATTACCTCTGGTACAACAGAGGTAAGGTAAAAAAAAATGGTTACACAGGTTATGACAGCTTATTTATATTAAGCTGTGTAATAACATGAACATGTTTATATTTTTAAAACAGGAGCCAGGATTACCTGACTCTTTAAGATTCCTTCAAACCAAATTTCCAGTCGTTTCAATAACTGAAGACTCTGCAATAAGCTCAACAAAACAAGTGAACACTAAATGAAATAATTCACAACCAAAATCCGTACGCGAGAGTCAATGATTCATTCATATAATTCATTAATTACAAAACTTGATGGTCCGTAGGCAAAAGTAAATTTCTGAGGTTTAGTATGCATGGTAATATCTATGATATATATGCTTGAAAGCTTGACAAGTAGTTTCTGTTACTGCCGTTAAGTGAAAGTCCAGTTTTCAGGTGATTGTTTAATCAAAAAAAGTGATCTTCAACATATATCAGATACATTTTTGATAATTTTAAGTCATGACCGTTACAAAGAATTTGATTCAAGTATACATATGTCTCAACCGAGACCTCAACTAAATAGTTCGATATCTTCTTTACGTCGCAACTCAAAAGAAGCCCATGATCTATCAACACTTAAGGTAATAAATATATAAATAACTTTTCCCACAACATTGTACAAAAACCTCTAAGGATAACCTTAGCGAATTTTAATGAAGGGAATTTAAAATTCCGGAAAGATTAAGCCGGAAGTGTTCCTTTAGTAAAAATTTATGCCAGTCAAGTTTTCATAAGTTAGAAAGACGATTGTCCGCACGCATGGTGGAGCATTTGCCAAAATCCTCACTAACAAAACATCTTGTGGACTACTGACATGATATCGATGCGGTCAAGTCATTCACTATTGTCAGCAGACAAAAAAAACAAGATGCTTGCAATTGTGGAAGAGGCTTGTGCAATTCGAGTTTATAAACCAGGTCTCTGTGTGCAAAAAGAGATAGGTGTGTCTCTGAATCTTCCATGGTAATACGTTTTACTTATTATTCTACCTCTTATTATTATTATCATTATTATTCTTAATTCATTTAAAACTATCCTTTATCAGTAGGATTATCTTAACTCACTTCAACACTATTATTATTGTTATTATAACCATTACTATTGATATTAGTCTGTTTGCAATGCTTGATATATTCTCTAGTGACTAATTGTTTATCTAAATGATGTAAATAATAACAATAAAAGACAGGTATTATGACAAAGATGCTATGCGCCGGTAGCACGGTGGTGGCTCAGGGTTCGATCCCCAGCCATAGACGCACTCCTTTACCCCACTGAGCTAGTAATAAGACTGGTAAGGAGGGAAGGTTAGGCATGAGGCTGGCTAGCAACTTCATCGTGTAGAAATAACCACCACTACTACAGAAACTTCAAGTCTCTAGCTTGAAGCTCCCTATATGTCTCCACTGGGAAGGTAAAGGAATATTTAAAAAAAAACAATTATGAAACAACTTCAAATCTTACCACTATCATATTTGTAGTTATATTTAGGACAAGGTTTGGAGAATTTCATGCCATCATTTTTATATTCTTTGATCAGTGAAACTGTGAACAGGTGGAGAAAAAGGGAGAATACAAGGGAAAATGGTTACATTTTGGAAATACGTGTACAACTGAAGAAAGTTTTTTGGAAAAAATCCGAAAGAAATGCTCTTCTTATGTCCCTTTTCTATCCGTCTACAATGAGAATATGCATAATTTAAAGCCTACAGTCAGTCTATTGTTAATCATAGTCTGTTATGCGTGAAATATTATTTCCCTCCACTGTACACATATTGCCAACTAGGTGTTAACTGCTCTGATATCTTTCCACACACACACGCACACACACACATGTCAGAAATATTTATGACTTGTGCCTACCTATTGAGTGTATGGAACACGTCCCACATGCCGGCAAAAGGTGATAACTGAGTTGATATGACTTTAGCAATATAAGCATGGATGGTGTTATCAATTCTAATTCATTAGATAATCTAAATATCTAAATATAACGCGAATATAGTCATGTATTGCCAAGTCTTGGCAACGTGTTAAACAGCATTCATGTATCCATCCATCAAATCAGCAGCTTTTTGGGTATGAATACTGTTCAGTTGAATATTTGTAGAGGTATGTAATAAGTGAAAATAATGCCTCACACTTTAATGTGTTGTTATTATTCGCAAAGAGGTGTTTTTGTCACATAATGATAAATTTAAAAGTAGGTTAACACAAATTAGACGTTTCATTTTGATGCTTGTGTCGAATCTTTCTTTGCACTCAACCTTCAACTTCAGCATACTTTGCACTGCTGAAATCTTAGCGGTTAGAGTTGAAAGTTAGCGTTTGTCTACAAACAGGAAACTTATACATCCCCCTCTTTTCTGCCAAATAAGTTCTGCTTTCACCTCTGTTAGAAAAGCTTGCTACGTCACAAGTAGAGTGCTGGATCGCCAAGGGATGGCATTCCTATTTTTCTGATTGGAAACAGGATACTGTAAACAATGGGAAGTCCTCCAGTGCTTCACTTACTCTGACCAGTGGGCCTTAAAGTATTGTCATTTCTCCACTTCTGTTTTCCCTCCGCTCACATGAAATGCCCCATCGTCACGAAGCCAATTTTTTTAAGTAAACCGATGGTCTGACTGTTTCTATGCCACCGGTTAATTCTCAGCCACACTGTTCTAAAATGAATAACTTTGTATTAGAAATTAGTCAGAGGTCCTCGGCAAATGGTCTTAAGCCTAATCTCCCAAATGTTGGGTGGTTAATTTCACTTTCAGACAAACAAACGAGATTTGAGTGAACTGGTTAGTTCGCACTGTTCCAGTATCATAGATGGCACTGAATTTGTTAAATGTTAAATACGCAACTTGGACTGTGTCTCTCCTTTGATCACCTTTCCTGGTCTTTTCACATCATGTTAGTTTCCAGAAAGATACTTAGTTTGACGTTCTATGTAGGCAAGTGAAGACGATTTGGTATAGCACTAAGTCAGTCTCTACTGTTACAGTTTGTTAGTTTTTGTGGTATTCTGCAGATAATCCTCCACTGTTCCTCCACCATAATCTTTACTGAGCTACTTAAGAAAGACTTTTTTATACTGCGTAGGATGCTAAAATCCGTCAGAGGGGCGAGTAGGGTGTTGCTAAGCCAACTTGTTGGTACTGATGTAAATGGATTCATGGACCCGAGCAAGAAATTTGCAAGTATTATCCTGTCAGACTGTGAACATCCTCTCCATACACAAGTTTCTCCTTGTATCTCATCCATCAGGTAGAACTAGAAGCAACTGTAGAAGACTGTATGCTCGGACAACTAAGCACGAAAACACTACGATACCTTATTTAACACAAATTTTATATCATGAGGAAAGTGTAAGACAGGAAATTACCAACCAACTTTCTGAGGAACTTTAAGTAAACGGTCCCATTTCTTGTTCCCATTATTATATTGTCGCTTATATTCTCACTAGATTTAGTTTCATATTCATTTCTCATTGAACAGTATTATTAACGTAATGCAATGTTATATTAATGGAAATACCCTATTTTAATCGTTGGCCGTGTAATGAGAAAAGTAGGTGCCATATTGTATAACTTGCTGGAAATTCCATATTTAGGTCAAGCAATAAGAAGACATAATTTGTCTGAATTGTGTAATGTATTTGCGCAACGCATTTCGAACAATCTGATCACACACGGACTTGTCATAGGAATACTCATACGAAATTAATAAAGAGGTAAGAGGTGAGGAAAATAGACTAAGGTCAAGTTAAAAGGACATATTCAAGGTCAAAATAGCAATGAAGATCACTAAACAAAATAGCAGAGATGGTAGTACATCAGCTATGGTATCAAAACAAAATTTATCAAGGAAGGTGGCTTAATGTGATGACGAATTGTTTTTGAACGCATAAAGGTGGCTTAATCTTTCTAATTGCCAGGGCTTCCACAGACTTTAGGCTATGCCCAAAACACATTCTGTAGGTAGGTTTAAAAGATCTGTCAATTTTATGTCCTATCTCTATGTTTCGCAATAGAAGAGTTAGGTCTCTTGTTCTCATCATTAATGGCTTCTGAAGATTCCATTTGTTTTTGGAGCCATTTAGGAATATGCTCTGAAGTCCTTACTTGCAGAGATCGATGAGTCCTACTTATGTATATGTGTCCACACGGATGTTCAATTAGTAAATACAGTGGGATGTGACATCATTTTTCGCATGTTCGAAAGGTTTAGATAGATATATTCGCTTTAAATTCTCCATTATTAGGATATTAGCTGCATAAAAAGTCTTTTTAACAGCAGCGTTCAGTCTTTGTCTAGTTATCAAGCTGCTATGATGCCTCATGTAGGGCAGCTTGATGTACACGTCTTTCTTAGGGGCGAGTTGTAGAGGGGGTCTTGGTGTTCTGACTACTTTATATCCCCTGATGAACTTGTTTGGATAATTGTTATCAACCAGAGTTTGTGTTAACTTTCTTTCTTCTTCATCAAGCGTGTCTTCAGTGCATATTCGTTGGATTCTACTGAAAAGACACCTTACTAAGGCTCTTTTAGCAGATATTTATATGTCGAACATTGAGAATTTATCAGAGGATTTAATCAAAAATGTGCCACTTTATAGAGGGTATGTAAATGATATTGTAATTATCAGTGATAAGCCTTGTTCTGCCACCTCAATTTTAAATCGAATGAATGAAGTTCAGAATAGCATATCACTTACATATGTCAGCAGACGAGGAAGATAATTGTTTATCTTTCTTAGACATATTGCTTAGTCGATGGCTTGATGGATCAATAGAAAGATCTATTTATAGAAAACCTACCTGGACAAGACAGTATCTTACTTACCCCAGTGTCTGCCCTGTTCGGTACATAATTTTTTTAGTACTTGTCTGCATGCTCCTTCATTAACATCAAATTTTTTCGCATTACATAACCCTAGTCAAAACCTACTAGTCTTAACCGCCTCCTCGCTGCAGGATACAAATTTGATTATTCATCATGCTGAAATATTGTGATGATATAAACAATTTTTTTTCTTTCCTTCCCGTTCCCCAGTGGAACATAGCGAGGGCTTCAAGTTAGCGGCTTGAAGTTTCTGTAGCAGTGTTTATTTTTTACAGGATGGGGTTGCTAGCCCCATGCCCAACGTTTCCTCTTTACCAGAATTATTTCTGGCTTAGCGAGGTAAAGGAGTGAGTCGGCCAGGGATCGAACCTCGGACCATGAGCATGATCAGCGAGCGTCCTAACCGCTATACCACCGACGCACTAAGAAACCTTACCAATGAGCTGTTTGGTCTCTATATAAGCAATAACCCAAACTAATTTTTTTTTGTTTGAGAAACCTAGTGTGAATACTAAGACAAATAAATAATTACATGTAATTATCATAGTACAACTAACAAGGATGAATTCACCGACAAAATTCTCCGCTAAAAATTGTTTATTCTTATGTCAAACTTTAAGTCAATCAAAATAAAAACTTAATTCACTATGTGAAATATCAAGGATATCAAAACGTTTGACTGAGAGACTCCTCAGGGGGTTAGTTTCGTTTGTCATAGTCATGACTTAGTAAAATTCGATATTGGATAAGTTTTTTTTAATCATCACAAAGTGAATACAATTGGTGGATGGTGGCTAGCAGTGGAATCCAGGATGCGCATTTCGTCCTATTTGGGACTCGTCAGCTGGATGTACCTGCATTTCTCAGTGAGTGATGATGTTCCCACCGAGGCTCGAACCCAGTACCCATAGTTTCAAACGCCAAAGCGTTATCCACTAGACCACTTGGGCCACGAGAGCCACTCTTGTGCAACGGGTCATATTAATTATTGAATTGAAAATTCAATTCAGTCACAAAGTGAAGATGTGGTATTAACAACTGGATAGGGTTTCGACCATAAATTATTGTTCATAATTATATAAATTTAGTCACACGGTTTCAAAATTTGTCTTACATATACTTTGTCTCTGTGTATCTCTTACTTACCTTTGTTGTTTGTTGTCACTTTCCATATCTCCAGTGTCATAGGCGTTGAGTCATTGCTACTGCACGTGAAGAGCTTCTTTCTGGCTTATTTAACTTATCAGGGTCAATTATTCTAGGTCTAGCTAAACTTGTATGTTTTATTAATCTAAGTGACTGATCACGATCTACTAGTTGGATCTATGTAATTGACTTCAGTGTACAGTATTACATAGTATTCAATGAAGTATATTATTTTTTTAATTGTATCTATTGGGTCTTTAAGTCGGCAGACAAAGTTTATCTCTGAGAGAGAGAGAGAGAGTTTGTTGTTTGGTTTAAATGCTACCCTAATTCCAGCGTCACTGGGAATTCTACGTAAGGCGTCTGGTGTTCCTTCTGTACACGACAGTGGTCAAGCTCTACACTCTCATCTTACTGAAAGACAAGCGATGGTTTGTTTAAAATATCCATACATGTAGGCAAGCTAACTACTTCTAATACAGAAAGTAGTATATTGCTTCAACAAGGTGGCTTTTTATAACAGGTTTGGATTCGTATCAAAATAATCTTCAATGAGATACCTACAACAGTTTATTTGCCTACTGCATCAATAATGGGTGAAAATTTATTGAGAGCATCTTTTGCAGTGGGCTACAATCTAGGATAGTGTTTAAGTTATTACAAACCTTAAGATATTCATGGATGACATTATTATCTATGTCCCAATATGAATGACACAAGATTGCGACATAACCATAAATAATAAGGCCATCTCTTCTGACTAAGTTTATCTGACAAAGACGATAATCATGAACAGTTCACAAAATAAGAGTCGGATACCTAATACTAATATACTCTTCTTAATCATTGACATTTTGACCTGGCTGTATTTGTAATCTATTCACTTAAATAAATTTATTTCTGTGTTGTGAAATCAATAATATGCAGAAGTAAAAAGCGATCTCAACGACATACTCACTGGGGAAAACAGTGAATGGTCATATCACGAGACATACTTAAATCTTCAAGGAAAAGCTAAGTAAGAGTAGCCGGTCAAAGTGATGTGGAGAGAAGACAATTAGATGAAGATACGCCGCGGAGTTTTACATTTATTTATTTTTCGACCTTATCATTAAAAAAAGAATAAGTGAGCTCTGAGATTTCACAGACAACATCTGTTAAGATACTGGATCTTGAGAGTGATAAACGGTTTATGTCTAGGCATAGCAATATTAGTTCCCACTAGAAATTATATTGAAACAATAACTATGTGATGGCATTAATTCAGAGACTTGGCGCGTCTCCAAAAGCACTTATAACAGGCTTTAAACTTTTATCAATACCTATCTTCAAAGTATACACAAGATCAGATGGCTAGCTAGAAAGGGTTGGCAAGAAGGAACTTTGGCAAATAACCAACCATAAACCTATTGACCAGCAAATAGAGGTGGATTGTTTACATGCCGAGGAAGCCATTAAATGATATCGCGCACCAGGCGTACTCTCGATTGGAACTCCAAAGGGAACTGACTACTTGAACATGAGTCCGAGAATGAAATGGGAGAGATTGTGTGAGTAGGAGATATGAGCTTATGATCAATCATGGAGTGAGCTAAAGGGGAGCACAAAGGACAGGATGAAAGAGAGGTGTGCTTTTGAGACCCTATATTCAAACTGGAACCTGAGTAGTGAAATAGATAATGACATACATGGGATCATCACATTTTGTGACACTATCTCCTTTCTATAAATGAACTATCCAAAAAACTATTGAGTGAAGCCATGTGACGAAAAAGATGTTATTTTTTCTACTGTAAACTGATTCCATTTTGACTGTGTCTACTGATGCAAGTTTCAAGTTAATTAACATTTACTTTATAGTATTTCTTCCATTCCTGCTGACTGCATTAGTCCTCTGAGATGAACATCTTCAGCCTTACTTACGCCCAACGTCCCATCTATTTCTGGCTTCAGAAACATTTAGTAAATTAGGCGAGGTTATTGTCATTGTTGCCTTTTACAGGTTAGTAGCCTTACGCTCACCCTTCCAACTTTCCTAGGAGAGGATTAGGAGTGAGCCAGGCAGGAATCGAGTGCTTAGTGAACATTTCATCATTCATTCTAGAATAAGGAGTGACACAGAGGAGATCATGCAAGGAGGTTGTTAAAGTTGCTTCTGGGGATTCGTGACAACACTTAAAAAGGATTTCAAAGAATTGAATAAACTCGAGATGTCCTATTGAAGCCTTATATTCCACTAGGAACCCAAGGGACTAATAGTACAAATAATACTATTAACACTAATACTACTAATAATAAAATAAAACCTTAATTAAAGTGTATCCCCTAAAAGTGTGAAATAACACAGATTGATTAACTTAAAAATTATAAATACATACAGATAGTTTCACTTACTATGTGCATACGTATGATACATAAGTATCACTTCCAAAATGACTAAAAATGAAATGTAATACACTAATTGATCTTTTATATTGAACAACATTTCATTTAGTAGAATGTGGAAAATTTATTTTAGGCAAGAGTTTATATATACACACATATTTATATATGTGCCTATGCATATTTATAGTGTCTTCTTCTCTGTTGACATGTTGATCAGGGACAGATGTTGAATTCTTATTCCTACCTATTTCTTTTCTCTTCATTGTTTTGTGTTTAAACTAAATATTTGCAAAAAGGTTGGATAGATTGGGAAGGTAATATAATAGTAGTAGTAGTAGTAGTATTAATAATAACAGTATTAGTAACAGTAATATTAGAAATATTAGGTAATAGATAATGTTGGATTAGGCTTAAAATACAATGAACCAATCATAATTCAGTAAATGATCGAATGTCATATTTATGGTTATAAATAACAATTCAGATGTATTTTGAAGATAAACATATATACGTATATATATATGTATAATGTATAGCAGTATTAACGTAAATACCCTCAGTAATGAGTGGCACTGCTTACACGTACTCTCTATAGATAAAAAGGTAAATTTTTTACTGACAAATTACTGTAGCCTAATGTTTTCTTTTTCGGATAATTAACAGCCCAGTGATGCATTTTATAAGCTCATCTGTGTTTCACTGAGATATACCTTGGTACTCAAGCTTCCATGGCTTAATAATAATAATTATTATTATATTATTATTTCCTTTAATTTCTAGAGGAACATAGGGCTTCAGCCGCCCAAGTCTCCATTGCGTTCGGTTGTCTGCTAGAGTTTTCACTTGGCTCCAAGTCTGCCCACATGACCAACTCGCCGCTTCCCTTTCCGGTTCCACTCGAGCAATGACTTGTCTAGTAGTGATTTGTGTCACTTGATGGTTTGTTTCCTAAGAGTATGACCAATCAACTCCATCTCCATTTCTTCCTGCCTATTTGTTACACAATTGCTTCCCGATGAGTTGGTTTACTCAATAGTCAGAGATCCCTCACTATTGCTGATTTCTTTTCTGGCTAACCATGTGATCTTGACTAGTATTGAGTGAAAACACCTGGTGATGAAGGGGTGTGTAGTTTGTTTGAAGTGCGCTTCGTGACGTGGCTCCAAGTCTCTGATCCCTACAGTAAGTAGGACTGACTTCACACTGGAGTTCAAAATCCGGATCTTATTTTTTTCAGGATGAGTGCTGTTGATCTCAACACGGACACTTGAGAGAAATAAAAGCTTGCCTTGCTTTCCCCATCCCCGCTGCTTTGATATCCTCATTAGTTCCGCTGCCTGTAGTTGAGACGATGCTTCCCAGGTAGGTAGGTAGGTGGTAAAGGAGGTTGCTTCTTTCAGATTTCTCCCATGCATGCTCACTGTTATCTGTTGTTGTTGTTGTTGCTGTAGGCCAGGAATCCTTATCACCTACGTCTGTTTTCTCTATGTTCACCTGAAGGAAGTTCTTGCTTCTCTGGATGCTTCTTCTATGGCCTACTTGTTGCTTTTCACTTGCATATCTTCCAATTTGTGGGAAATCAGACATATATCGCATCGGTGAAGTCCAGATCCTCCAAGTTCGCTTTTTGTGTGAGTCCATTGAGTTAATAATTAGATCTATTTTATCATTATTTCCTTGTTTTCCGATTGAAACACAGGGCTTCAATAACATATCTCCACCTTATACTATTCGGTGTAGTCGTCTTCAGCTGGCCCCACGATTGTTCATAGTCTCTCATCTCCTTCTCCTCCTTTTCGCATGGTCTTCTCGATGTCACCATTGCAGACCGTCGTTTCTTATTCTGGTTCGACTCAAGGGCCTGCAGTGTGATGTCAACTCATGACCAGCCCACCTTCATTTTCTCTTTTCTTATGATTGGTTTGTTCCCAGTTTCTTGTAGTTAATTCTATCTGGCCAACTGATTGTCAGTATGGAGGCAGAGAAAGCATCTGTGTGATAAAAGTCTGTAATCTGTAAGAAATCCTTTCCCGGACGCTTTATCCATTTTCCTCACCCATACAAAAGTACTAATTAACTTGAATTTAGAGTTGACTATCGGAATTTTTATCTTTGTACTGAGTGCAAAAGATTTCCAAACTGACTTTAGAATGATGAAGATCTACCCTGCCTTTCTAATTCTGGTTTTGACATCATCCATTCCGCTTGTATTTGAAACGATTCCACCCAGATATGTGAAGGAAGTAGCCTCTTTCAAGTTGCTTCCACCATTGATGGTGATTCGCGCTCTCTATTGATAACATTAGCATTCATTCCGAACGTAATTTGTCCTCCTCTCTGTTTCACACAAGTTGTATATTGATTTTACGCAAATGTTTATTCACTTTTTACTCATGTATATAAACGAAGTAAGAAAGTTATGTGAATACCTTGATATAATTATGAACAATAAATTATGCTCGAAACGAGGTCATCAGTAAATATCACTGCATAACACTGTGTGAATTTATCAAAGTAAAATTTCATCCATATTTGGTGCCGTTTGTTGTTGCGGTTTTTTTTGGATTATCTTCATCATCTCGGTCTTCTTTATGTCCACCTCCACTTAGAGTCCTGTCTTCGTTGCTCAGCTAGCCTCTTCAGCCAGTTTGTCGCTTTTTGCCTGTAAGTCTTTGAATTTGTGTAACATTAGACATAAATCATCATGTCGTCTCACTTCCGTGTACAGTATGATGCATAATCCAATCCACCACAATCAAGAATATTATCGTAGGTGATAATAGATAGGCAGCCAGCTTGTCTTACTCTTGTATTCACTTCGAATGCCTCACTGAGTACTCGGTTGTGGATCACCTGACACGTGGAGCTGTCATATGATTGTGGTTGAATGAGGTTGATAAAAACTTGGGCAATGGATGCAGTAGTGTTGAAGTAGTTTCAAAATTACTTCTCGGTTAAGGATTTTTGTCAAAGGCCTTTACGCAGTCGATGAAATTGAGGTAGAGAGAGAGGTTTGACTGACATTCTATGCTATGCTCGGTAAAATTAGGCCTATAGACTGACCGGACTGTTCATTTTCTGGTGAGATAAAGTGGTATGAAGTTATATCCATCTCAGTACATATAACTTCAAACTGTCATTTACCAATTATTTAAATTGATGTTGAAGTCAGACGTTGGAGTTGAGCATTCAGCAAAGCAGGAATTATTACGAGTAGTGTACCTCCCAGGGATGATGACGTTACATTATATAGTAATATGGTGGCCTTGCTTAATACTTGGGATAACAAAAAATCCCCATCACTATATAGCATACAGTTTTTCTTGCTTACTTTGCTTTAATCGATTTAAATATGACCTCTAATGGTGTTATTTACTCTCGCCAGTATTTGAAGTGTCTACAACCTGCTGATTCACCAGTTTCCACTAAATTTGAGAAAAAAAGCATAACCGTGGTTGAAAGTGCATGGCATCGCAATACATGAGATAACATTTCCTGAGTTATGTCATTATATCTCAGAATATACTCCTGAACTTTTACCTTTAACTATCAACCACAATGTCGTGCATTTATCTAAGGAGACAAAGAAGCAATATTATAATGGATTGGTTTACGCTTCGGATCAGACAGCATTGTGTCACAGGATCCACTGTTAATCGATATATAATCTGAAGATTTTATACAAAGAGAAAATATCCTGCAATAGACTCCACTGAAAATTCTGTGCATTATTTACAAACTGTACGCTTTTATTATTGGTTGTAAAAGACAGTAGACCTAAGATAGTTACCGAAATTTCAGGACAACTGATGTGGATTTTGAAATTCCAGAAATTCTTTTGATTGAAGTACTTCGTGTAGTTTACCTTGGAACCCTGTATTTATCTGGATTTGTTTTACGGACACCCTAATTAAAAGCATTCATATTAAATGTGATCAAAAACTACCGACGCAATCCACACTCCAATCGTGAATGTTTAAAAGAATTCTGACTGAAATCATGATGAAAACTGTGACTGGTAGGGGCCACCATGTACAAAGGTATCAAAGGCACTGAGTGGAAAGTGGTATATCAAGAGTCTATATAGCTGGAATTCATAGGTCACTGAATCCTAGCCAACGCACTTCTTTACCTCGCTAAGCCAGAAATAATGCTGATAAAGAGGAAAGGTTGGGCATGAGGCTAGCAACCCCATCCTGTAAAAACTAGACACTGCTACAGAAACTTCAAGCCACTAGCTTGAATCCCTATGTTCCAATTGGGAACGTAAAGGAAAAACAAAGAAAAGAAAGTTTTTAAACAGTGCCTGAAATTCTATCGCAAATAACTGTCCTTTTGTTATCGTTGTGACATTTCAGGACTGTGAATGGCTCAAGGGAGTTTTATTCAGCTATACAGTAGAACGCAGAGATCAGTTTCCTGCGTTCACATCACAACATGAGGCTTTTAGTTCACTTGCACACTGACAAGTTCATTTACCCTAGAATTCAAATCAGCTTTTGAGGAGATGAAAGAACAACGGAAATCTTGCTATGCATACTAATTAGAATCGCAGGTAAATATGGAGTATTTTACATTATTTCTCTTTACATCATTTGCTCCCCTGTGGTGAATCAATATATTTTTCTTATAGTCTTGCCAGTGTTTTCCTTCACCTATGTTTTTTAGTGTTTTCCTATCCATAATTTTGAAAACTAAAGCTAATTTTAATACCTAATAACAATTTCCCCAGATTGACAGATGACATTTTTGCTGTAGTTATCAGCGGGTGTCAATAAAACACATCTCAGGTCACAGCATATTCCTCATTCAAAATTATTTGCCGTTGATTCAGGTATTTTCGTCAAACAGTTTGCACTGAAGAATGACATGTTTTTTTTGACAAGTGAAGAGTTTTCAGTGACAAAACGCAACAGGAAATACTCAATGGAATAATTTTACGTTAATAATCCAGAAAAATAAATGCATTGAAGTTCTCCGTTGCATCAAGACCCTGGTGTGGTTCAGGGCTATTTAGCAGTGCGGCCCCACAGCCCATATCGATTCATGATGAAATTTTTTTTCAGAAATTAATCAAAACTCCTAGAAGGCGCAGCATCT